TGCTATAATATTTCATTGTTAATTTAATTTGTATTTCCTTTATTCATAGTTAATTTGAACATAGAATATTGGGGGTGTCTTTTATACAGGAAACAAAATAAAACATGTAAGTTATGGCTACTTATTTGTTTAATCCTGAGAAAGTTATAATGATGGCTTCCGTTATAATTGCACTTAATCCAAGTCCTTCTAGCACTTTTTTTGTAGTTTTTGTTTTGTATGTTCACTGCTCTGAATTGTAGAACATATGGATTTATTTCTTCTCTACATATTAATAAATTGTGTTTTATATCTCTTTATTTTGTAATACTGTACCCTACTTACCACTTTTTTTAGCACAGATTTTACCGAATCTGATAGCAATATTACCACTCTTACGTTTCATTGCATTTGCCTGATATCCTTGCTAATATTTATTGTCAATTTTTCTTTATTACTTAGACTCGTGTCTTTCTCACAAATACCCATAGCTGAGCTTTGATTTTGTAATATAACCGTGAGCAGACTTCAGATTTTTTGTTTTATTCTGTTTTTAGTATTTAGGGTTTGGTAAAGTTGACATAAAGCACAGGAAAGTATTCTGATAAGATACAGAATGTTTGCCTTTTAGGCAAATCACACAGAAGACAAGGAAAATTTTATTTTATAGTATCTTATTAATAGCAGACGAAGCATCCAGGAAAATTTTGTCATTTTTAACAGAGAGAGAAAACATCAAGTTTTCGTTTTGCATAGGTATCATATTTAATACTAATTTTTTGAAAATCTTATAAATAAGCCCTTTAAATGTTACTTAGCATTGACCATAAGAGTCTTTCATTTATTTATGTATATAGTTAGGTTTTATCTTAGACATTTTTTGGAATGATTAGCCATTTTATTTTAAGACAAAACTGTAGTTTTTTGTTCTGTTTTGTTTTCTTTTTGTTTTTTTAGCGTTTTCTCCTTCTTTCCCTTTATTCAGAATTACTCAAGAATTTCAGAAACAGTGGGGGGAAAATGAAAACTACAAATAAGCACAAAGATTACAAGAGTAATCCCACAACCCCCAGATAAGGAGTGCTAACCTTCGGATGGCTGCCCCCTAGACTTTCTTTCCCCTGAACACTGGTCTCAGAGGCAGGGGCAGGACTCTGTGGGTGGTGGGGAAGGGGCACAGTGTGGGTCGCTGGGAACAGGGTGGAGCTGGCACTGGGGAGGAGCCAAAACTGTAGTTTCAGCAAAATATTATCTGGCATATCTTTCATGTGCAGCTGCCTACTGTCATTATTTTTCCTAAAAAAATCATATATATTACATATGTAATTTTTAATTACAGTGATTTTTTTATTTTATAGAG